CGATGTCCAAGTGGGAGAGCTGTAATTGTCCAAGTCTGATTTTGTTCAAGTGCTTGCAGTTCTACAACCATGGCTTCTTGCCATTTTGGATCCAACGATGCCTGTTCATAGGTCATAGGTTCCACCAAAGTAGTGACAGCACAAATAAAATTCCGATATTTAGGAAAAAGTTTTGTGTAAGAAATGTACCAATGCAAAGGATGACGCGTGCCAACCGAGGAAGAAGATTGACCGGGAGCAACCTTGGTCATGTGGTATAGATGAAAGTCTCGGAATTTGATACTTGGTTGTTTGATTCAATCAGAACGACGGACAATGGGATTTGGGTTTGGTTCATCAACATCATGGTTAATGATGGGCACAAGTGGTGGAGATGAAGGGTCAGTTGCAAAGTTTTGATTTGGTGTGTCTGTGGTTATCAAGTCATCAGAAGTGTGTGGTAAAGGAAGTACAACCTCATCTTTTTGTACTTCTTGTGGACTATTATGAAATGGAAAAATGTGTTCGTGAAACACCACATCTCGGGATATAAAGAATTTATTAGTTGTAAGATCATAAACCCGATAACCTTTGTGACCTAGAGGATAACCGATAAATACGCATTGACGAGCTCTTTGATCAAATTTATGTGAAGGTAGGAGATTAGTCGCATAACAAAGGCATCCAAAAATGCGAAGATGGTTGTATATAGGTAACTTTTTATAGAGAACTTAATATGGAGATTTATTAAAAAGAAGAGGCGTTGGTAAACGATTGATTAGGTAACATGCTGTTTGAACGCTTTCCCCCCAAAATTTTAAAGGTAAGTTTGCTTGAAAACGAAGAGCCATTCCTACGTTTAAATGATGTCGATGCTTTTTTTCAACTACCCCATTTTGTTGAGGCGTTGAAGTGCATGAACAATGATAATTGATCCCGTTCGCATCAAAATAATCTTTCATGGAAAGTAGTTCAGTACCATTATATGTTTTAATAGTCTTAATTCGACCATTAAACTGCGTCTCCACCCAAGAAATAAATGATTTTAATATCCCTTGTGTTACGGATTTAAAGCTCATGAGGTGTATCCAAGTATATCGAGTAAAATCATCAACAATTGTAGAAAAATAACTAGCTCCATAAGTGGATTTTAAACGATGCGGTCCCCAAATATCACAATGTATTATTTCAAAAGGTGAATGGGAAGAAATAGAACTAGACGGAAAAGGTAATCGAGTTTGTTTAGCTAGAGGACAAATTTCACAAACATGACTCGAATCAAAATAAATAGCAGGATTACTTTTATTAAGGACTTGAAGCGGACGGGAAGAAGGGTGCCCAAGACGTTGGTGCCAAAGATTTGATTGTTTGCGGATGGTGAAAGCGAGGGCTGGGTTTTGGGTTTGTGTCAAGTAGTAGAGACCATCATGTTGCTTGCCCAGGCCAATCATACTCTTCGTAGCAGCGTCATGTACAATACAAAATTCGGAAGAGAATGTTACTGTACAATTCAGTCCTTTTGTTAACTTACTAACTGATAGTAAATTAACTCTAAATTGATGGACTTTAAGGACTTCATCAAGCTTTATGTTGGGTGTAATTTGCTAAGATCCAATCGACTCAACACGTGTCTGGCCACCATTTGGAAGTCGAATGGTGGTTGTTGTAGGCAAAATCTTTGAATCAAGTAACTCGCAAGGAGTTACATGATCTGTAGCCCCGCTATCAATGATCCAACACAAACGTGATTGTGTTATACCTGCAAAAGTTCCAGATGAATGCATGATGTTACCTACGGCATTGATGAAGTGTTGTTGGTTACCATCAGTATTGGATTTTCGTAGCATCGCCATCAATTGGTTGTATTCATCCGAAGTAAATTTTGGCACGTCATCCCCCGTGAGAGACTTTCCACTCGTTTCGAAAATTTTGTCTGTCTCTAGGTTCACATTATTTGCGGTTGGACGCCGCTGATTGGGAAGCTTTATGTTCTTTCCATGTAATTTGTGGCCCACTGGAAAACCATGTAGGTAAAAACACTTCTCTATGCTATGATTATCTCGATCACAGTAAGAGCAATGCAGGGGCGTCCTTTGCCTTTGAGTCACCTTATTATCTCGATTTGTAAGCATTGCATGGTGGTTCAGATTCCCGCGATTAAGAGAAACTTCGGCCTGCTTTTCTTGCTGAAGAACAAGAGAATAAACCCTCCGTGTATCAGGTAAGGGTTGCATCAATAAGATTTGCCTTCGAACAGCAGCATAACTGTCGTTCAATCTCATGAGAAATTGCATGACTTTTTCTTTTTCTTCTCTTTGCTTGAGTTTTTCCATTCCACCACATGTCATTACCAAGAGATTACCATGTCATTACATCGTTGCCAAGACGGGAAATCGTCATCTGTAGGAGAAAGGGGTTTGATCGAACCTGTGATGAATCCAATCTTGTTTTTGGCACTTAAACTGATTCTCATGGCCCGACTCCATGTGCCATAGTTGTCTTCTTCGAGTACTCTAAACACGAGTATTACCCCTGGATGATCTGAATGATGTAGAGAATATGGATCAGTGGCTTCGATAATCACCTTAGTTGGTGTTGTTCCCACCACGTCATTTGTTTTGTCTCCCATGGTTTTGTGAATGGAGAATAGGTTGCGGAAGCGTTTATAGGGGTTTAGGTTTACCAGGTTCGGTGCTCTGGTACCATGAAAGAATATTGAGAGATGTGGAAATCATGTGTAATCAACTGGTGATCTCGTACAAATGAGAATACATATGTATATAGTACATTGGCTATCATTATTCTAGGAAACTACTGACTAATGAATCAATTAAAATCAATTAAATATCAAAGGCATATATACTACTAGTATCAATATATTTTCTTTCCCGTAATACTCAGGTTGCAGAAGTTTCAATTCACATGCTTGCAGGGATAAGGGTAAAAATGCAATTGTACCATGCTACTTAATAATGTTAAGATTTTAATAGTACTTGACTGTTAAAATGATGGGTTTTTTTTATTGCATTTCATAGTTCAAGCGGCAAATGACAATAATAATAGTAAAGAGGTGTAAATTGTATTTGACCCTAAATTTAACTGGGCCTTACAAAATTGCTATTTTTATATTGGCCCAAGACGAGAGTCTCGTTGGACTACTACCCCTTGGACCGGCTGAGCTAGGTTGCTCATTAGATACTTGCAATATTTATTACGCTCCAATATTTATTTGCCAACAAAAGAAAAAAAAATAAGGGTTAAATACAGTTTGCACACTTATACTATTGCCACACTAGGCCAAAACACAGTTCTGGCGACGTTAAAATTTGTGACTAAATAAAAATCGTCGCAAAATTGCGACGATTCCTACTACATTAGTCGCAATAGTTTAAATCCCGCTTTTGACTCAAAACCTTGGCGACGAAACACGATTATCGTCGCTGTGTTGCGTCGAATAATTTCATAAACGCCGCAAGGAGAAAACAAAATAATTTTCACATATTTTTGAGACGAAAAAGCGACAAAGGTCGCGCAAAGTAATTTTTTTTTTTTAAAATTATATTATAGCGACGAAATAGAGATAATCGTCGCCAGGCGTTTGAAAAAAAATATTTTTTTCTTCAATCCCTGCGACGAAATGAACATCGTCGCAATTAGAATAATTTTTATTTTATTTATTATGTTAGCTGCGACGAATTGTGACTAAACGGCGCAAACAAATTGCATTTATTTTTTCCCGTTGCGTCGATTTCAGAAAAACGTCGCAGTTAGAATAAATTATTTTCCTTTTATAAGTTTTTAATAAATATTGCGACGAATATGTATATGAAACGTCGCAAGTGTTTTCTCTTTCCCAAATTTTGGAGCCCAGATTGCTATGAATATATAAACGTCGCAATGGAATTAATTTTTTATTATTTTGTTGCGACGATTGATATGAAATCGACGCTAGTAATTAATTTAAGATTTATTTTTATTTCATGTTCGCGTCGATTCGGTGGAATTCGTCGCATAAAAGAATTGGGTTAAAAACCTAATTCGTTTCAGCCCAATTCTCCACTCTCTCTCTCTCTCTCTCTCTCTCTCTCTCTCTCTCTCTCTCTCTCTCTCTCTCTCTCTCTCTCTCTCTCTCTCTCTCTCTCTCTCTCTCTCTCTCTCTCTCTCTCTCTCTCTCTCTCTCTCTCTCTCTCTCTCTCCGACTCTACCGTCGCCGGTGTCGGCGTCGTTCTGCCGGCGCGCTTCCACCATTACCGGCCACCAAACTGCCCTAATCTTAATTTGTAACCTACGCCATCAAACTCCCCCATTCTCACTCTCTCTCTCTCTCTCTACTGTTAGGGATCTCTGATCCGGTGTCTTGCCGCCGCCTCATCTGTGAAAGCTGCCGTTTCAAAGTTTGGTGGAACCGTGTGCAGACTGTCGAGGTATAATCTTCATTATTGCCTATTTTTTGTTTCTTTTTTATTAAGACATGCATTCGATATCAGTTTTCGAAAAATTGGAACAAAATTTCTGATTTTTCGATTTTGAAACAATATTTTTCATTACAAATTCCAATTTGTTTATTTATTGAAACTGGAATAATTATGAGATTATGATTTCGGATTCGATATCAGTTTTCGAAAAATTCCGTTTTTTTTTCCTGAATGTCAAAAATTATTATCGATTTTGTATTTAAGGTGATTAAGAAACTGTAATTTCTGTAATTTTCCTTTAATTTCTCCCCAATTACAAATAAAACAAAGACAACGTGTATGGATATTTGTGTATGTGTGCTGATTTTGTGTGTATGTGTTGATTTAGTGTGTATGTGTGTGCTGATTTTTTGCGTATGTGTTGATTCAATGTTTATATGTGTGCTGAATTTGGGGTGTATTTGTTGATTTTGGAGTGTATTTGGGGGTGTATTTGCTGATTTTGGGGTGTATTTGGGGGTGTTTTTGCTGATTATGGGGTGTATTTGGGGGTGTATTTGCTGTATTTGGGGGTGTATTTGGGGGTCTCTTTATTTGATAATGCACTTATGAACAACTCTCTTAATTTTGTTGACTTGTTGACTGAAGGTACTCATTGCTTTGAAGAAAGGAACGCAACTAATCAAGTATAGCTGGAAAGGGAAGCGCAAGTTTTTCACATTTAGACTTTCTCGAGTAAGAAATTATCCTTTCCCTCACCTTTACCACGACAAAGTTTTTCTGTATTCATTCAACTTTGTTGTCGCATGTTAACGCAAACTTATATGATGCAACTTATCTCTTCCTTTCGATTTTTATGCGTTCTAAATAGTAGAAGACAATCTACATTTCCATTTATTAAAAATACTTATTAAATATTGAATAATTCTTTTTAGCAATTGATTTATAAATAAATGAATAATTATGTAAAAACTGATTATATGATTATTATGTTAATAAGAAATATTTGTGTGCGTGGTTCCGTAAAATTTCTTCTCATTTCGGAAAAAGTGGTAAAGTGGTAAAGGGGGCAATATTGGGAGTTCGGAAAAATTTCTTCTCATTTCGATTATTTTTTTTTCTATATTAATTAATGCATTCTACATAATAAAAACAATATTTTGAATAACTGAAATATTTGTCATGCTATTTTTTACCAGCATCAGTAAGACTATTTACTTACTACAAAATGGCAAAGGATAGGAGTTGGGTTTTGATAGATGATCATCGATTAGATGCATTTCAAAAGGGTTGTGAAGAATTTTTGGATTTTGCTTTTAATAAGGCTGCGATTGATAATAAAATACGATGTCCATGTCGAGATTGTGAGTGTAGAACAATTGGGGATCGGGAATTTGTCCATGGACCTTTACTTTGGAGGGGTTGGGATAAATTTATGGTTTAGGCAATGGGTATGCATCTAGAGTCTGAGGAAGAATATCGTCTCGGGCATCAGGTTTGTGAAACAAATGAAGCTGCTGATTTCAGAATTTCTGAAGTTGAAGAGGTGAATCATGAAACTGATGGTGGTGCGAGCGGTCGTGAGAACATGGAAGAATTGTTGCAAGCATGTGTTCATCCCGATCAACACGAATCATTGGAAGAATCCACACCGGAAGTTGATGATTTTCGTAAACTCATTGAAGAGTGGTGTATCCCTCTATATGATGGATGCCAAGAAAATTCTAAACTTTCATTCGTGTTGGAATTCTACAAAATTAAATCTCGAGGCAAGATGAGCGATAAGACGTTTTCAGACACACTCCAACTAATTAAAAAAATTCCTGGTCTAAATATTCCCGACACTTTTTACAAAGTTAAGAAGTTGATTGGGAAATTGGGGTGTGGTTATGTGAAAATTGATGCATGTGAGAATGATTGCATGTTGTTCTGGAAGGATGATGCAGACTTAGATTCATGTAGAGTCTGCAATGCTTCACGATGGAAGACTTCCATGGAGAACCAGCCGAGCTCTTCAACCACTCGCCACAAAAGAGTACCCAAAAAGGTTTTGCGACACTTCCCCTTGATTCCGAGGCTTAAGAGTTTATTTATCTGTGAGAGAACATCCATTAACATGAGATGGCATGCGGAGACTCGATGTGACGATGGAGTTCTCAGGCATCCCGCTGATTCCGATGCGTGGAAAGAGTTCGATAAGAAACATGAGTCATTTTCTTTGGAATCCCGAAACGTAAGGCTAGGTTTGGCTACAGATGGTTTCAATCCTTTTGGATCATTAAGTAGCAAGTATAGCACGTGGCCTGTCATTGTAATGATTTACAATTTGCCACCAAATTTGTGCATGCAACGTTCTCATATGATGATGTCATTGCTTATTTCTGGTCCCAAGGGACCTAAAAATGGCATTGATGTTTATTTGCAACCATTGATAGATGAGTTGAAGGAGTTGTGGATTTCGGGAATTCAAACTTTTGATATGTCCACCAAACAGTACTTTAATATGCGAGCGGCCCTCTTGTGGACTATTAATGACTTCCCGGCACTTGGTAATTTATCGGGGTGGAGCACAAGCGGTTATCTTGCTTGTCCTAGCTGTGCTGAAGATACCGTATCTGAGCGTTTGTACAAGTCAAACAAACAATGTTTTATGGGACATAGCCGCTTTCCAGAGGAAGGGGCACCACCTCCACCATCCGGGGAAGATGTCTTATCAAAAACGGAGGGAATCGATGTTGTATTTGGCGTAGGCCAAGCAGTTCATAGAGATTCTCAATGGAGAAAGAGAAGTATTTTCTTTGAATTGCCTTATTGGAAAGATAATTTGATACGTCATAACCTGGATGTCATGCATATTGAGAAGAACATTGGGGAATTGCTACTAAAGTGGCTATTAAATCTTCTTAGCAAAAATGATGGTTTTGAAAATGCAAAGGAGGACATTGAAAAAATAAAAAAAACCACCATCTGGTAAGATTGGTCCACGTTTTCCCACTCTAGTCCCAAAACTTGGGAAGTATCACAAGATGTCTGTCCAGTCTAAGAAATCGCTTTGTGATGTTATATCAAACATTAAGGTTCCTAACGGCTATGCATCCAATATAGCCCGTTGTGTGAATGAATACAAAGTAGGGGGACTGGAGAGCCATGACTATCATGTATTGGTGCAACAATTGCTTCCATTGGCAATTCGAAATGTGGGGTTACCTAACAAGATGGCTTGTACTATTATTCAATTGTGTAGTTTTTTTCGAGGCTTATGTTCCAAAACCAACACAGTTGAAGATTTTCAAAAACTACACTCTGATATTGTAAAAGTACTATGCAATCTTGAGAAATTGTTCCCCCCATCATTCTTTGTTGTGATGATGCATTTGCCGGTTCACATAGCTCATGAAGCAATGGTTGCCGGACCAGTGCATCATCGATGGATGTATCCAATAGAGAGGTATTTATAATTTTTTCAAGAGCTGATGTCATATTTAATTTCCATTAACTTATTATAATAAAATCTAATCTTTATAAAATTTCCTTTGACATAGATATTTGGGCCACTTAAAGAGTTTTGTCCAGAATAAAAAGTGTCCTGAAGGCTCTATTGCCGAATGTTACGTCACTGAGGAATGCTTAAACTTTTGCTCACTATACACCGAAAACTCCTGTGCTACACTTTGTGATGATGAACCACAAAGTGCATTTTCAATATTCTTGGGAGTATCAAATGATAGTGATGTACATCCTAAGTACAAAGTCCTCAATTATGATTTAATGGAGAAGGCACACAACTATTGCCTTTTCAACTGTGACGAAGTTCAACCTTACATTGAGTAAGTTATCTATATGGTATTTTAATTGTCAATAGTTTTCATTGAACTGCTTTAAAATATATACCATTTTCGTAGGGAGCATTTAGAGACCGTTAAGCATGTGAATTTTGAAACTTCTGCAACTTGAGAATTTTCTTCCATCCGAACGTAATTCTCCGAATTTCTTTAACAATTGAAAACTGAAGTCTAGAGATTCAAGAGTTTTCTCTTCCTAGGGTGCAAATTTTATGAGAATATTTCTAAGAATTATTTGGAACAAAAATCTTAATGTTCTTATCTGATGAATGTATGCGTTCATGATGTTGCTGCTCCTGTTATCCTTTTCTTTTTTTCTTTATTTTTTTTGTCTTTTCGATGATTTAAATATAAATATAATAATGGAATTCAATTGAAGCAGGAAAAAAATTGGGAAAAAGAAGAGAGGTATACTATGAAGATGAACTAATTGTTGTTAAAATTTAATTTTTTTATAAAAAAATTGAATCAACAATTAAAAATATTTTTTTTATCGTTCCGAAAGTAAACAAAATATTTTTATGGTTTTATCGTGTTTCAAATATTTATGCATTTTACACGTTATTACTATTGTTTTTAATAATTGTTTGCCATTTTTTTAAATACTAGAGTTTATTTCATTTGCTTTATTTTTCTCAAATATTTACTTATAGGGTATGATTGTCTGAAAAAGATCGAGCACTTTGGTCAATGCGCCACATCATCTTTAATGGATAGAAAGACTAACGGTTGTTAGCGGAAGGGTTATTTTGTCGCAATTGATAGTTCAGGAGGGTAAATGCGACAACGGCAATAGTACAAAAGTGCAAACTGTATTTAACCCAAGAAATAAAGGAAAACTCATACTTTCATCCCTCTTTGAATACTTTTAACTTGTCAAGCTCACAATTGTAATATCATGTTTATATAACAAAATTATTAAAGAAAAATCTCATTAATAAACATGTAGGAGAAAAATATAGTGCAATCGTTAGTTTTGCAAAATAAACTCCCATTTATTCCAAACAAATTTTCTCTTGTTTAAGGTTGTCAAAAGCTTTGAAAACATATTTTGTTCGACTTGTATGAATAAGAGCGCGTACGTGATTAAGGTAGAAGCGCTTACATGGCAATGGTATATATACGCATATCCCGTATTTTACAATTTCACACAAACAATTTTGAAATAATTTATATTCTTTGTGTATTTATTTTTTCGTTTGTTTTGTTAGAACAGAAATCAATTATAAGAACCAACATATATAATTGCTTCTCTAAGCAAGTTCATATCCATATTGTTGCTCTCCCCATAATTCTTTTATCCAATCTTGAAAACAACACCCACTATTCTTTCTTAATTATTATTTTGCCCCATAATTAGTAACAACCAAATTCCCATCCTTTGTGACTTCACACCCCTTCTATTTAAAGGGCTCTTCTCTCCCATTCTCTAAAATATTCACAACACTCACCAAACCAAAAAAAATAAAAAAAATAAATAAAAATCATCACATTTATAATTTTCTTGAAAAACGAAATGATGAAATTCTTGCTAGCTATTCTCTCATTGGTTCTAATTACCGGTCTCGTGGAAAGTTTCGATTTCCACGAGAACGAATTGGAGACCGAAGAGAAGATGTGGGATTTATACGAGAGGTGGAGGAGCCACCACACTGTCTCGAAGAGCATAGATGATAAGCACAAGCGCTTCAACGTGTTTAAGGCTAACGCTCATTACGTAAACAATTTCAATAAAAAGGACAATCCTTATAAGTTGAAATTGAATAAATTTGCGGATATGACTAGCCACGAGTTTAAGAGCGTCTATGCCGGAGCAAAGGTGAAACATCATCGTATGGTCCAAGGAAATGTACGAGGAAACGGAACATTTATGTACGAAAATGTACGCACCGTTCCGCTCTCCGTTGATTGGAGGGAGAAAGGATCCGTCACCGGTGTCAAAGATCAAGGGCAATGTGGTAAATTTATATATATTTTGCCATTTTTATTTGATTTAATTTTCGTACAATAATTAGAATTATTAATCAAAATATAGTTTTTTTTATCCTTTTATAGGTAGTTGTTGGGCGTTTTCGACTGTCGTGGCGGTGGAAGGGATAAATCATATAAAGACGAATAACTTGGTATCTTTGTCCGAGCAAGAACTTGTGGATTGTGACACTGAGCAGAATCAAGGTTGTAATGGAGGATTGATGGATTGGGCATTTGATTTTATTAAAAAGAAAGGAGGGATCACAACAGAGAAAAACTATCCTTACACAGCTGCAAATGGAAAGTGTGATGGCAAAAAGGTAAAATCATATATTTGCAACAAATTAAATCATAATATTGAACATATAATAATGTCTTCATATTCTGCTGCTGCAGGCGAACTCTCCAGCTGTCGCAATTGACGGACATGAAAACGTTCCGATTAACGACGAAGAAGCGTTGTTGAAAGCAGCGGCTAATCAGCCTATATCGGTTGCTATAGATGCTGGAGGTTCTGATTTCCAGTTCTACTCTGAGGTAAACTATAAATTTGTGCATACTAAGTTCAGAACTAGAGGTGGAAATTGGAACAAAATTTCTGATTCTGATTATGAAATAATTTTTTTTCATTTTGAATTTTCTAAACTTCGATTCGAAATTTTCCCGATTTTCTTTTTTATAATCGGAATTGAAATATATATGTGATTCCGAATTCTGGTTCGATTTTAATTTCTGATATTTAAGATTACTTTCTTCAAAAATTACACTGATAATATCAATATTATTAAAAAAAAAATTACTTTAGGTGGCTAAAAATTTGAAATATTTCAAATTCTGATGACTCTGATCCGAAAATTTTGGAACAAAATTGCTTTCATTCCAATTTTCAAGTTCCGATTTTCGTCGATTCTGATCCGAATATCTCGGAAATAGAATGAAGTTTTATTCTTTCCAATTTCCGAAATGATTTTTTTTGGCACATATTGGAATTGGTTTTTCACTTGGAAAAAAGTCTGAAGTCTTCCGAAAGTGCTAATTCTGATCAAATTCATCCGATTTTCATCCCAACTAACAACACATATAAACCATAACACTAGTAGAGTGCTTATATTTAAGCTTGTCGCTAAATGTTTTATATGGTAAAACAAGATCTTCAATTTCTTATCTGGGGTGATATATATAGGGAGTGTTCACAGGGGAATGCGGCACAGAACTTGATCACGGGGTGGCAATCGTAGGGTACGGAACAACACGCGACGGAACAAAATACTGGACGGTGAAAAACTCGTGGGGAGGCGAATGGGGCGAGAAGGGTTACATTAGGATGAAACGTGGGACCGAAGCGAAAGAGGGCTTATGTGGCATAGCAATGATGGCGTCTTATCCAATCAAGAACTCATCAAATAATCCCGGAGAAGATGCTGACTCATCACTCAACGATGAACTCTGAGCCACAGTTTCATTTTCTGAAAACTGTTGATTCCTTTGAACTATATATCTAATGATTAAATAAATTGTTCTATATATTATCAAACTATGTGTTCTTCCAACCCTCTTTGAATCAATTAACTTGAACATATATTTTTTTTTTAAATTAACTTCAGTACTTAAAACATGTGATTAACTGTGAAACTCACAATTAGTTCAGTACTTAAAATAAAGGGTAAATTAGGGAACCCCCTTGGTCCGGTCCAATTACGTAAAAACACCTAATATTTGGATAATTACGATCATTTTCTCAATTATGAATTTCACGTCTATCCTTACGATGTCAAATTTATTGAAATCTTCTAGATATGTGGAATATTTTTCAGTTTGTACCCGTTTTATCTCATTCGAGCTCCACATTTTCAAACAAGATAATCATAAGATGTGTCTCTTGACTTGTAAATATCGGAATGTGATCAGAAACTGCATTTTTTTACAAAACGAGTAAAAACTAGAGAACTTTACACGGAATCTAGAAAATTCTGTTAAATTTGACACCATAAGGGTGAACGTGTGAAAAGATTCATACTTGAGTGTAGTTGTAATTACCCAAACATAAGGAATTTTTTTCGGTAGTTTAACCTTACCTCAAAGGTGAACGTAATTTACCTTAAAACAAACAAACATATGATTGAAGACTGATCAATATTTTAGTTCGGTAAATTTTCATATAACTTATATAATAAAATCATCATAAATTTATTCTTTTCATATCCATTTTTTTTTACATTTAAATATTTTTGTGCAAAAATGTGTCTAGTAACACATGTATGCAATCAACATATGTAAGACTAATTTCCAGTTACCGAGCCTCAAAATTCGTCTGCATATATATATATGTATATATATATATATATATATATATATATATATATATATATATATATATATATATATATATATATATATATATATATATATATCATCAGTAGGTGAATTTCAACGGCCTCATCATAGCATTATCTTCATGATCCAGAATCTGCAGAATTAATTATTAATTAAAGAAAAAATCTCATTAATAAAAATGAAGGAGAAAATAGAGCAACGGTACGAATAAGTATGCATGATTAAGGTAGAACCGCTTACATGGCAATGGTAGACATATCCCGGCTCAGCGGTTGCATCAAAAGGATACGAATTGTTCGTGTGAATGTACGAAAACCTAACTAATATCTTGGTCACATATCCGGGCATCATTTTGTACACATTTTTCCATCCTTTTTCATGCGCGGGCACTCCCACCTTCTTACCACGTGCATACTTGTCCACTTGGCATTTAACCGCATCGTTGGTTTTGGACATGCATTCTTTGAATTCATCGACATCCACCAACTCCGTTTGATCCAATGCCACAAATAGCCCCAAATGTATATGCAACGGGTGATTATCCTCCGTCAAATTGATCACGTTCCATATCTCGGTGGACCCCACCTTAGGAGTCTCCGTCGCCGGAGATTCGTACGATTTCCCATTGATGTATAAATGCGTGGGCTCATCGGTGTCGCTCGTGTACTCGTATAGGCTAATGTACCGTGTGACCGATGCGGAGGATAAATCCGCGGAAGGATACTTGACCAATTTTCTCGGAATTCTCGACGTTTCCAACTCGTGTCCGGCCTTGATAATGAACTTCATGACTTTGCTATTCGCTTCGTTGACGGGGTCTCCCGAGGGGTAGGGATACGCTGCGTCGTTGGACAGGATAACCGAATCGGACTTTGACTTAGAAAAGTCAACCACCACGTCGGCAATTTCGGACGGTGCTAGTAGGAGATCGTTCATCTTAACGGGCTTCTCATTATAGGCCGAATCGGACCCCACGAGGACGAACCCTAAACCGTTATCAAAGAAGAATTTGAAGAATCTCGCGTTGCTCGCGTTGATAATCCTAAAACGGTACTTCCTCCGACGTACGGTCATGCGGGGCCACGCCTTCCCGTTGACCACGATCGTGTCTCCAAAATACTCCGGTTGCCATTGAGGATGTATGGACGGATTATTCCCCGTCAAATTCATGAAAATTGAACCGTCGGTGTAGAAGCTCCGATCGAACACAACCAACGGACGGTCAAACTCTCGGTCATAGGGGAGTCCGAGGGGGAGCTCGACATGCGGGTCTCGGATGACGTAGGCCCCGATAAGGCCAGCGAGAAGGTTGACTCTGGTCAACCCCATGGCGTGGTCGTGGTACCATAGTGTGCCGGGGTGTTGGGCGTTGTGGTAGCGGTAGGTTTTCTTGGTCCAAGACGGGCCCCGCTCTTTGAAGTCGGAAGTGAACCACGACATGGAGTTGCCGTCGCTCTCGGGTTCGTCGATGCCGCCGTGGAGGTGGACGACGGTGGGGATGCCGCCATTTCTAGTGTGGGGGATGGCGGTGGGAATGGTGGGGTCCCATGGCAATATGTGCTTTGAGGGGAGGTGATTGGTCCATTTTATGTGTGTGCTAATTCCATGCAGGGCTTCTATTGTGGGCCCGGGTACCGTTGCGTGTTCTTTCGATGTACCGTATGCGAACACTTGCGTCGGTGGGAGGTCTCTATGAAAGTTCTGCAAGAAAAAAAAAAAAAAAATTAGAAAGTTTAATTAGAAAGTCTTGATTGAAATTGCTTATGCAGTAACAAAGTTCAAGAACTACGGTTCAAATCCACCCAATATAAATAATCAGGTGTAACATCTAACTTCATGTAAAAATACAAAAATACAGTAACAAAGTTCAAGATCTAAATATTAAATACATTATTGGCAGATTTGACCGGTTTTTGGTCATGATATGCAAGTGATTTGATATGTTGCCACTATAAAGATTATTTGATTGAATAAAAATAATGTTATGAAAGAATGAAATGGTGTAGTCCACCAAATATCTTGTTTAGATGATCTTCCACCATGTTTTGTCACATATTTAACAATTATCCCAGTCTGATTTCTTGGTTGCCGGGGCTTATTTTATTTATCAATTAGTATAGGAAAAATTAAAAAGAATAAATCCCCCTATTGGAGTAATGTGTGGGGAATGATGCCATTAGTTTTAATCAAGTAATGATTAAAGTACAATATGGCATATAAAATAGTAAATTTAGAGGAGCAATTTTTATAAATAATTTATATTGAAATAATTTATGTGTAATTCGAGTAAAACTAAAAAAGAGTAATAAATGCATAAAATTTGAGATTAGCATATAATAACAAAAATCATTTAAACGGACTGTTACTTTGAGAGGAAGTAACAATTCAAAACAACTTTAAAATACAGTAGAACCTCGAAAAACTATTACTCAATAAATTAATAATTTTATTTAAATAATAATAATTTATTCTGGTCCGACTTGACGTAAAGGAAATTTGTAGTTCTATAATTTAGTATTTTATTAAATTAATAAAATTTTATTAGTCCATCTATATTGATTTATAGAAGTTTAACTTTACGTCAATGTATGGATTTGAATAAAGAGGCATCCTATGCTGACATGTATTCCAATGCAGAGAGAAATTTTCAAATAATTGGTTGGTAGTGGACATGGAAAATTACTATAATGACCTTTCTTAACCTAATCACCTAGAAAGGTAATAGTAGAACTGGTCCAGCATAAAGACAACAAAAAAACATAGGAAATATTGACAAAAATGTTGAAGAAATAAAAAAAAGAAAAAGAAAAAAGTAATATTGTATTAAAAATTAGAAAAAAATAATACAAATTTCACCGACAAGTTAAAATAGAAAAATAACCCCAAAATAAAAAGTAATTCCAGCTGGATATTTAAGAATGAAGGCAACCAGATAGTCAAAAAGGCACAAGGAAAAAAATTGCAAAATAGAAAGCTCAAAGCTAACTTTCTTTACTTTGACGAACAAAATGAATGCATACATCTCTTCTCGTTTTTTTTTTTTTTATTTAATTAATTTATTTTAATAACAAAAAATAATCACAAAGCTAATTATGAATATTAACCAAGTTAAAAAGTATAAAAACTAATTACACGTACGACAAATATACAGTACTGTCAGATAGTCACATGTTAAGACAAGTGAATTATATTGAGCAAAGAAAATCAACCAAAATTCTAGATATGTAAGAAAAATAAAAAGTAGCAAGTAGAGTTTAAAAAAAAAAAAAAAAGAAAAAAAAGATAAAGAAAATTACCCATTTCTTGTGAAACATGCCAACTCGGAGTGAGTTGGGAACAGGAAACCCGTCGACGAAATCGAAAGCTTTGATTCTGGGCATGTCTGGTAATTCATCAACAAACATCTCCAATTTTGATGGGTTTATTACAACTCCATATTTTTCTTCTCCCCATGCAAAATTATTATTCACCAACAAAACTAACCAAATCATCAATAATTTTCCCACCATTTTCTTTCAATCTTATATACTATATATACTCCGCCTCTCTCTAAGTATATGCAGTTGTGTGTGTATACAATGAGTTCTAGAGAGAGAGAGAGGGAGGAGAGAGAGAGTGTGTGTGTGTGATTTGTGTGTAGGGGGGGTGATGAGAAATAGATAATACTTAGGTAAGTAATAATAATGAGAAATCTGAATATTTAGTGGAAGAGATATATAGAGAGAGAATAATAATGAAGAAATGACAAGGAAAGGGAGAATAAGAAAAAAAGGCAATTCGATGATCGAGTGGTTGTGGGCTTCGATGTCTCCGCTAAAAGTTGTGACTACACATGCATGATGAACAAAAGCACTATCTAGGACAATTTTATGACATTTGTCATTTTTTTTTATATTTACATTTTTTCATTTTTTTTAATGTTGTTTTGATTTTACTGTTTTGACTCCGAACTTGATTTTGACAACGAATTACGAATATTGTCGCTCTTTGGGTTGGCCTTTTAAACCGACTTAAATCAGCTAGATTGGATGTTGTTTGATAAAATTATGCTCGAATGAGTCAAGTTTTGAATTTTAGATAACTCATACATTAAAGTTAAGGGCGACATTCATTGATATATATATATATATATATATATATATATATATATATATATATATATATCTATCTCATGACATCCAGGGTTTGAAAAAATTTGGAGTAAACAATTATCGAAATTGCTTTTGAAGTTGAGACGGTATTACCACTATTATAATAAAATTTAATATGATATAAATTACAGTAACAATATCAACATCATATAAATCTTATGAGATGTGCTATTTCCACCCTCATTTTATCTCATTTCACCACCAAAAATTTAAATAAATAAATAACATAATATAAAATATCTGAAATACCCTTCATACGTATTCATTTAATTATTTTTCTAATCCACCACCATCAATTTACTAACTTCATCTTCTCAATTACAACATAAAGAAAATGTTTCTGGAAATTAACACCATTCCATTTTTTTTATAAATAAATTTCACCAGTAAATAAAAAAATGAATAAAAAGAATCTACAATCGGGGATCCCCATCGCAAAAAATCTCAAAAAATACTATGGAAGTACTCCCTCTCCTAGCTCATGGCGCCGCCGCATCCTATGCATTCCTCCTCGACTTATATGTTCATACGATCAACATAAATATTCCATATAGAGGAACTCGAAAGGCGGATCTTTCCAATTTTTTTATCGATGCGATCCAAATCCAAGAAATTTAGAGAAGATAATAATAGCAATTGAGATATTGGTTTAATTCCGGTTCATTGATTTTCTTGAACATTTTTTGTTCTCAGTTTCTCACTCCTCTCTGGATAACAACCAATAAACAATTGCCGTAATTTCTAAAGCATAAATATATTTAAGGTTTTTTTTTAATGGACATTAATTATGTCGTTCTAGATTAACTGATTTCTTCTTTTTTAATTTTTTTTGGTCTAAAAAGGTTTGTGTTATGGAAGTCTATGAAGAAAAATAAAATATTGGAGAAGATGAAGAGTGAAGTGACGGTGGTGGATCAAAATTGTGATTTAAAAGATTATTAATTATTAAGGGTATTTATGTTATTTTATGTTGTATTATATTATATATTTAAAATTTGGTGGTGAAATGAGATAATATAAGGGTGGAAATAGCATGACTCAATCTTATAATACAAATTTACCCGACAAAAGATTATATAAATTTAATTGTCATAATAGGAAATTGATTGTCAAATAAATGAAATAATTAATAAATAAAAAATTAATTACAAAGATGTCACTAACAAATAAAGCATAGAATCGGTCCATTGAGATAATTATTTCTTTTTTTACAACCACTACTAATTAAGAAAGTGGGATAAGAAAGAAACCCACAAATTATTTTCCTACTGGGCCACGATCCCAATATCGAAGACCACTATCACAGAGGTCCAATCATCTTCAAGTAAGGTTGGGCCCGACAATCTCAACTAAGCTATAAATAAAAGTTTGAACTCATTACTTAAGGTACGTCCTACTAACTAAGCAATACTATAATATGTATTTTCTGGACTATTTCTATGATCAGCACGTCTGACTTGAGCGTCGGAGGGGTTTCCGTCGGATCAACCCCCGACTTAGTTCATGTGTTTTAAGATCGCATGTACCTCAGGATCATCAAGTTGTCAAGCTACTGATCCGCTTTGCTCTCCCAGTTCGTTTTCTACACTACCTCAGGTGATCTAAGTAATTAGCATCATATATATATATATATATATATATATATATATATATATATATATATATATATATATATATATATATATATATATATATATATATCTTTCTCATGACATCCAGGGTTTGAAAAATTTGGAGTAAACAATTATCGAATCGCTTTTGAAGTTGAGACGGTATAACCACTATTATAATAAAATTTAATATGATATAAATTACAGTAACAATATCAACATCATATAAATCTTATAATACAAATTTACTCGACAAAAGATTATATAAATTTAATTGTCATAATAGGAAATTGATTGTCAAATAAATGAAATAATTAATAAATAAAAATTAATTACAAAGATGTCACTAACAAAGAAAGCATAGAATCGGTCCATTGATATTTCTTTTTTTACAACCATGCTACTAATAAAGAAAGTGGGATAAGAAAGAAACCCACAAACCGTTCCATTGAGTCAAGAAAAAAACACTAATTAAATAATTAGTAGAGAAAAAAATAAAAATGAAAAAGAATTACAAGATGAGGAAAAAAAAGAAAAAAACACCTAATTAAACCGGTTTTTAGGACAAGTGAGAATTGTTAGGTACAATACGTTAGTGACAAAACACACACAAATTCACGAATTTGAGAATAAGGACGAAATCATCGACACATAGTTCATTCTAGAATAAATGTCGTTATGTGTTAATGCGCAAATATTATAAAACACAAATTAATAAATATGCGTGAGTTTTAGGAAAAAGACATAATATGACTAGAATATATTCCCGGTTAATTTTATTCAATTAATTCTCTCGTAGCTCATTAAAAGTGTGAAGTGGAAAATTGAAAGAAATGGTAACTAATGCACCATTGAAATTATAACGCGAAAAGATAACATGGTATAAGAAAAAAAGAAAATCAAAACAAAAGTTAATTTGTAACGGAAGGAGTAAATTAATTACACCTTATAATAGTTCCGTATTTTTTTTTTCTTATGAAAAACCAACGAAAAGACCTAAACTAAGATTTTAATTGAGCTCAAGCTTTTTTTATATTATTATTTTATTATA